ATGTGATGATGGAATGCTCGTCACACGAACGATTACTATTAATGCATTTGCGCGTTTTGTTAAGTGGGTCCTGGAAGAGTTTAACATTATTTTGTAAAACTAGCTACATGGTACTTAGTTTGTTCGATTCGGGTGTTGTTATTATAGGACAGAAAGGTATCGAGAGTCCATTGTGTTGCTGGCATCCATTCCACAACAAGGCTTAATACTTGCAATATTCCTGGGAACCGAAGGTTACTAAACCTTACTAATATTTTAATGAGTTTAATTTATTGGATGTTATTGTTATTGAAATGCAGAGGTAATATATAAATAAAGTTATACCTCTTTCGAATCGAATAGAGATACATTTTTGTACATAATACTATAAAAGGGTTGTTCTAACGAATTGTTTATTATTATTATGGTGATGTGACCAATCAAGATAGTGCACATTGCATGTAGGCGGGGCGAGGTCCCGGCCGCGACGTCTCTGTCGGCAGTGGCGCGTGGTTCATTGGTCGAAGTGCCTTGACGAGCTACTGTGTACGAGTCCAGTACAGTAGTACAGCCTGGCCCTAGTTGCTGGGCGCCATCATTGGACGCTCTCGTGTTAGTTAACTGAATGCGCAGCGTGTGTCACTGTCACCCCTCAGTAGATACGTATGCTTAGTTACACGCCGACAGCGCTGATACAGTGCCTAAGCTAAAATGTGATCCCAAATAATGCATTAATTATTTAAGCTAGGCTAGGTCTTATAATGAAATTATACCTTTATTACATAAGCAATCATGGTACTCGGACCCCAAGGGGCGCGGCGCGCGGCGACGCACTCCGTGCTGCGACTTGTGTCCGTTGTACATTCTGACATTCATACGACCAAGGGCGTTGACGGACATAATGACTCTAAGAATTAATGATATAAGCACCAAAATGTCAGTCAATTTTTATGTGTGCGTGTGTAGTGAGTTACCACGTTACCAGACTTAACAAATGACAAATGTCCTCCGTGTCAATGTGTCTGTTCTGCGTGTAACTCTATAGTAGCCAGGTGCCACAGTCGTTGTTCCAAGGGACTGTCACCATTGAAACAACCGTACCAATGTCTACCAGATTACCCACCAGCGTGCAAGCACTCTAATGAACAGAGTTGATTGCATCTTGCATGTATCGAGCTCATATAGTTAAGTGAATGTGTCAGATCAGATCTCACTGACAGCTGACACCACGTATTATGTCATGCACATAATAAAATCTATTTGTTCCATGGGTAGTGACGTCATCATCATACTTCCTAATCGTACTAGGACATTATACACTTATATGTATTTGAAACACTGATTTGAAAGCGTTTACTGATGGTCCACCGACCCCGACGTAGCACGCGTGCGCCTAACGCATCGTGTCGCCGCGCGGCGCCGCTCGCCGACTGAATGATCTGATGTGTGCTGGTCCGAGTACCTACTTCTATAAATATTAATATCAAAATACTATTATGTGATTATTAAAATGTTAATAGAACTTGTGTTTTATTATTTACAACACAAACTCGTTGGATGTTCCTCGAAGTTACATTATACATATGTATACAGGTGTCTCTGAAGTCGACGATCAAATGGAACCAGGTTATCAGAAAAATATTTTAAAAAATCCAAATAATCGAATTACAATGACTTATGTGATTATGTGTTATCTACCAAAAAGTACACCTTGTACCAGTATTTTAATTCTTGCTGCTACAGAATAGTGCTTCAGAATCATAGGGAGTGGCATACTATATTAGAATCGTTATTAAACTGTCAAACACCAAGCGGTCACCGGTGACCGCAACCTATTGTTCTATAATTGTGTCTACAAAACCGGTACTCGACGAGTTAAATGCACCAACTTTGGTGAAATTTGCCACTACTAGCGCAGTACAATTTTTTTCAGCACAGTCACTTAAAGTTACGTGAAAAATTTTGTAACAACACTTGATTCGTCAAAAAACGACATTATTTTCCAAACTAAAGCAGTTGGCTCAGATATTATGTTTCCATAATACTGGAGCACTATTCAGGATAACGTAAGCAAAAACACAGGAAAACAATAACGAATTGTAGCCGCAAGATTCAAAAGACTGACACAGGTGTACCTTTTCATGGTTCACTTAAGTCATTGTAATTAAAAAACTGTATTTTTTGATGGCATAAGCTGGTAAACGGGCAGACGGATCACCTGATGGTAAGCAATCGGCGCCGCCCATGGACACCTGGAACACCAGAGGCGTTACAAGTCCTTTATTGGCCTTTTGAAGATTAGGAGTTTGAGGATCGTTGGGGATTCAGGAATTGGGGAGATTAGAGAAGGGGAGGGTAATTGGGCCTCCGGTAACCTCACTCACACGACGAAACACAACGCAAGCATTGCTTCACGTCGGTTTTCTGTGAGGCCGTGGTATCACTCCGGTCGAGCCGGCCTATTCGTGCCGAAGCATGGCTCTCCCACACTTAAACTTATGACTTGGAATTTTTCCTATATTTTTCTGATAACTCTTGGAATCTCGCCAATCACCTGGTGCCATTTGATCGTCGACTTCGACGTCGACGACAGGGACACCTGTATAATAAAACGGTAGAAATGTAAATTCTGTACATTGGAAATATAAAAAAAAGATCAAGTGTTACTAGATAGAGAGAGAACCCAAAAGTGTGATTAAAAATATTTTGTCTGTCTGTCTGTATGTTCACGCATCCCGCAAGAACTACTGGTACCTACGATTACGATGAAACTTGGTAGGATTATACTTAATAAATATCCTAAGCACAATACTGGGTACTTTAGAGGTATATCTCAAAAAAACAAAGCAAGTTAGTTAGTTAGTTAGTCCTCGAATATGACGTGTGTGTCACTGTCAGCAATTGGTCCGGTTAACCTTTTTATTGGGAACGGAACAACCCAAACCACAGCGCCACCGACTGTAGGACATTTATGTGTGCATGACGCCTCAGCCCTTGTTACATTGCCTGATTCCAACAGAGCTTATAATAGTCCAAAAGTTATTGGTTAGATTGTGTATGTACACATTTGCTCATATTGCATCCGGTTTATCACAAGGAACACTGACACTTTCATTCTTCCTTTTTCATTCAAGCTGTTATTCTGTGGAATGCGTTGCCCAAGGAGATCAGAATGGCAACAACTCGCAATACCTTTAAAGTCCGTGAGCATTTACTTAAGCATTGGCAGACTCAAAACAATTGAGGAAACTATTCTGACAACGTTTTCTTTTTTTATATAGTATATATTGTAGTATTTATGCAGTAGGTATAAGTATTTGTTTATAAATTATATGGTATGTATATGTCTATACAGATTTATAAAATATTGTACTAATATATTTATTGTATAGGTATTTATGTGTGTAGTATACATATTTTACATAACTTTTATTTTATATTTTCATTTGTGTTCTGGCTTCGCATCAACCACTTCATTTCTTTGCACTTTACACTTGGTTTTCTTTACACTTGGTTGACTGTAAGATAATGCCATAAGTAAGGCATTAAGTCCGCCATTCACTGTTGTATTTTGTGAAGAAGAAAATGAATAAAAAAAACACTCCAAATTGCCCAAAAGTTGACTGCCTCGTTGGGCGAGTGATCGTAAGTGCGACTGCCGGGCAAATCCAATCAAATCATGTTTATTTGCTCAAACACATGTGTACATACAATAAACAATAGCATGTAAGATAGCGGGTAGTAGTGAATAAAGTTCGAGACATGTTTGCCGTATACAATGGCATGCAAATATAGTAGTCACTTGTAATGATTGCGAACTAACCGACATCTTTCGAATGTGGAAACCTTATTCAATATTAGACATTGATGGAATATTGATAATAATATGTCAGAGTAACCATCATTTTACATTTAAAACAATAGAATAATAATAATTAAAAAATGATGTCTACTTATTACTGTTACAAAATAATACAACAGTAAAGGTATAATATACAATAATGTCAATCAGTAAAAACTAATAAAAATAAATATGTCAAAATTATATAAATCAATTGCATTTTATTAATTTTTCATTATTCAAGTATATCTTCTCGGTTGCCAAAGAAGAAAAAAAAAGTATATCTTTTAGAAAATCGTCGACATTATAATAGGCCTTTCCAACGAGAAATAATTTCACTTTCTTTTTGAATAATTCACCATTAAGCAAGGCGTCTCGGGTTCGATTCCCGGGTCGGGCAAAGTATTACTGGGTTTTTAAATTTTCTCAGTAGTAGCACGGAGTCTGGAATTGTGCCCGGTATATGGCAATAGGCTCACCCCCTATTCATGAGACTCATAACATAAATAGTGAAAAGTGGGTGTTACAGTTACAGTTACTAACCTAACCTAACACTTCGGGGATAAAAGACGTGATGTTATGTAGTTACATGATACAAATGAGTAACCGCGTCGAGAATCGAACGTGAACTGAAGTAAAATGGACCATACAGTTATTATTTTTGCTTATTAAGTAATTACATAATATTTATACTATTTTTTTTTAATATAATTATTATTATTTTTTAGTTTTTTATACATATTTCAGATTTCTTATCGTACATTTTTCTGTTACACACTGTCTGCTGCCACCGAGGCAGCCCCCAAGCCGTTTACAAAGATGGACGCCATTGTTCGAACAGGATAGTCTGCCTCGTGAGGTCATTTGCTGCTACAGTCGAAGTATTTACAAACTTCAAAAAAAGTAGGAGGTACTATGTTCTAATGGTTTTTTTATTTTGTCTCTCGGTGTGTCGTTGTGGTTGCTGCAGAGCGCTTTGTTGCTAATATCTTTGTTGTAGACGGACCTAGCGCCTATAGGATTGAGACTGACAACCTCATTGTTTGTGTTGATGACTTTCTTTTATTCGTCAGCCTAGCTAGACTAGACATTGTGACGATTGCGTGAGAGGTCGATCGTGGGGACACTGGGGACCCAATAAAAAAGGACAGTTAGTAAAAATATAGGTATTTTATTTTAGAAATGTTAATCTACACAAAACTATAAATAGATATATTATAATTAGTATAATATGATATCTCGTGAGCGTGGCGCGCCGCTACAAGTACATGCCGTTGACGAGGTAGTCGGCGTCGTGCGCGAACGGAGACTTCCCGCGGCCGCGGCGGCGGCGCATCGCGGCGCGCGCCCGACACGTCAGCATGCCCAGGATCGCCGTCAGCATGAACAGACCTGCACACACACGCCCACACTCAGTAGCCGCGATCTCTGGGGAGGAGCTCGGGCAACCAGTCAATACTCACCTAGTACGAGCAGCATCATGGCGGCGGGGGGGTGCTCGCTGAGCCCGTCGTGCTCGTCGTGCTCGCCGTGCTCGTCGGCCGGGTAGTGCACGTGCGCCGCCGCTGACGACACCTTCTTGTCTGCGCTCTCGGCGGACTTGTTCGCCTGCACTGGCTACACACGACACAGACAGACGGTGGAAGAAATTATCTATATAATTCCGCCAAGTGCGTCCACCCTCAACAATTTTTTAATAGATACCTTGGGCACGGGCGGAGGCGCAGGGCGGGGCGCAGGCGGGGGCTCCGTGCTCTCCTTGTTCACCAGCTCGAAGCCTTTCTTAGGACTGTCGCGCAGCGTCTGTTGCTGACTCGAGTACACCACCGGAATTTCAGGCATAGTCTTCGGAGGAATGTACACCGGGATCTCCTGAGATCATGTTTATCTTACATGTGATTAGTGATGTACCTAACTGTGTGGGCTGTACTGTTATCACCTACCTACTTAGGCAGTGACAATGAATGTCAGTGATGTACTGACCTGGTCTGCGCGCGGCACGGGCCAGGCGCGGCGCGGGTCGGGTTCGGGCCAATACGCGCCGCCCCACGCGCCCTCTGCGCCTGCAACACACACACTCCCGACTCAATCGTTACAATGACATGCTCTGTATGTACCTAAGCAACCGTGCGGCAATCAAACTCATGCCCCGGCCCGTCTTACACTACGCTGCCTGGGGGCCCTTGGGCACACAATAATTCGGGGCCCCTGTTGAGTGTTCCTTGTTTTAAAGGTGCACTACAACACAATAGGATTTTCTCCAGTGTCGCGGGTGCATTTACACACAAGTTCACATACACATGACATCCAGACCGGAAATAATAATTTGTGGATCACACAAAGATTTGCTCCATGCGGGAATCGAACCCGCCACACGTTGCCGGGCAGCCGGCTGCCGCACAACTTGTAGCGGGTGTGTATCCGTCGTAGAAATTGTCGGTCCTTCGGGGCGTCCTGAGCATGACGGCGCTGGGTACACCGTACAGGCCGCGGGTGCCGTTATGGTAGAGACGGTATATACTGCTGCTCATGACATGCTGTACGCTATATTACTCGTTACTCAGCGGTGGAACTTTAGATCTACGTCGCACTTTTATGAAGTTATTGTCAATTAAAGAGCAACACACCTACCATTTTCACCATTTTTCTTTCAGTAATAGTAGAGGTTCAGTAAATGACGCTAGTATTAAAAAGTCATAATTATGAAAATTTTATAAGTAAGTAGGTACCTAATAGTTCTCCCCCTATACTTATGAGCAGCGAGCATCCGCCACTCAACTACCGTTGCAATCAGGAGTTCAGCAGTTACGGCAAGTGAACATCACCACAAATAAATTGACTTTAAATGCTTATACTTAAGCTGCGAAAACTATTTGTATGAAAATTCTTTACAAGATATTGAACAAAAATAAAATAGATGTTTTGCAAGCAGATAAAGATTTTTTTACTATTCACATTTTTTTATTTACAAATATGTATACCATACTATTGGCGCCAGCGGTATCACATCTTTGCTCAGCCAGGATACAAGTAATAAAGTGTCACTCGGTCGGGGTGGTGGTGTGTCTAGTGTAGCAGGGTATGGTGTGGCTTACCGTTGGGCTGCGGCGGTGCGGGCGGCCAAGCGCGACGCGGCCAGGGCGGCTCGAACGCCGGGAACTGGGCGCCGCTCTCCGGCTCCTGCAGCAGCCCGCCCTTGTGGCTGAAGATATGTGAGCTGGCCCCCGCCTCTACACAATCATTGGTATTATTGCTAGTGTTTTACTCGCACGAGTAGCTTGCATACCGCGACGTAACCGACGTAAATATAATAATTGTTATTAGTCAAGTGCTCACAAATGCGACTGACGATGATGAGCAACGCCTCAGGTCGTTGGGATATTTTCAGATATTATGTAGTAGGTATGGAGTCTGGATTGTGCGCGATAAGTAGATAGGTATGTATATTATTATGTCAATTGGCAAAAGGTTCACTCTCAATTGGTGAAGTGATAATTACGGCATTATATTTAGTTTTTGGCCTAGGAATTATGCCGCATCCTAAAATTGGTTCTGACGACAATCTTAAAAGTGGCTAAAAGTCAAACACCATATGGGTATGGTGTGTGTGTGTGTGTGTGCGTGTGCGTGTGTGTGTGTGTGTGTGTGTGTGTGCGTGTGAATTGGCTGCTAGGTGTATACTACATAATTATGTCGTACCACTATAGCGGCGCGGCGGCTGCGCCTGCGCCAGACGATGCGGCCAGCGCTCGGGCAGCGCACCGCCCTCGGCCGGCACGCCCTCCCCGGCCAGTACACCCTCCCCGGCAGGCGCGTTCTCTCCCGTCAGCACCGCTTCCGCCGCCAGCCGTTCCTACAACAGCCTCGCTGTCAGCAGTCACCTCTCACACAATACCTACTCACGGTGACCATTATTGACTCTATCACCAAGTACCTGGTGCAGCGGCTTATGTGTGGTTGAAGGAGGGGCGCGGGGCGCGGGGGGCGGGCAGCCGAGCTCGGGCGCTTCGTCAGACCCGTCCGCGCACTGCGGCACGCCATCGCACGCATTGTAAACTGCTATACACTCGCCACCGCGCCGACACGCGAACTGGTATCGACTGCACCGCGACGCTGTAACCACGTCACCATGAGACGGGGAGAATAGGAATCGAGAGAGAGAGACCGAAGAGGGATGAATCGGTATTAGTAGTTCTTTATAGTGATGACTTAGTTTAAATGCATGATGATGTTTAAGATGCAAAGTTAGCTATAGGATACCCACGTATGACACTGGACGGAGATTCGGCTTCATGGGGCGGCGTGGGGCGCGGCGCGGGGGGCGGCGGGCGCGGCGGCGGGGAGGGCGCGGCGGCGGGGGCGCGGGCGCGGGGGCGGGGGGCGCCGTGCTGCCCGCCGTCGTGCGAGCCGTGCTGCTGCTGCCGCCGCTCCTGCAGGCACGGACCACGCACGCATTACACGTCCGTGTGACTCATTTGTTCAGGGGTAGGGGTGGTGCTTTAATTTAGTCATTCTATAAAGTATAAGTTTTAAAGTACATCACACTTTTATGGAGTTGCTATAAAGTAGAAGAAGTAGGGTAGGATAGAAAAGTCATCCCCACTAAGTCCACGAATCGTCGCTGCGTGGGGCTCTTATTTTTGCTCTGCAAGCGGTTTAGAAGTAGGTATGTAATCAAAAACCTAACTTCATACCATTCAACTTTATTTATCCGCCTGTCGTGTCGCATAACCCTATATTCCTTTTTTTATATATTTGACGTAGGAAGGTACCTAATTATATCAATTTGTTTGCTAAAATCTGCATTCAAGATGACGCTTTCGCTTCATCACGAGTTAATAACTAATGTTTCAATCACGAGACAAAGTAAAATATTATTGGTAAAGTTACGTTCCGTCTATAATATGCTTTTCATATTCGCTCCAATATTCGTCACATAAAAAATGGACATGAAACAACGCTTGTGTTTTGTTTACGCCGTATGTGTGAGTTTATCGTAAGTCGGATCTCCTCGTGGGGTAAGGAGGGGTTAAGACCCCTACCTCCAAATCTGTGATAAGTGATAAGTCCCAACCTCCAAATCCATCCCTGAACTGAAAGCGTTAGTGGTGATATCAAATCTTAAAGAAAAGCAAACCAAGCTTCTCCTTACAGTACAAACATTGTCACAGTAACTAGATAGCAATAAATTGAAGATAAAAACACTCTTTAACATCATAGCGGACCACTGGTGATGCAGGTGAGCATAGGCGACACCGCGCCCCGATCGCCCTAGGCCGAAGGGTAAGGGGCGAGGTCTCTTATGCGTTTTACACTTCTAGAAACTACGAATGATTGCCACGTGCCTACTGCTAATCTCATAGATACATACATAAATCTAACCATTATTTGCGGCTAATCTCAACCCAACCATTATCTCTGAGACCTTTCTATTCTACAGCCTTTCCGGAGTAAGTAGGTACAGTAATGAAGAGACCTGAGATTGGCGAGCTCCTGTTCATGGTGCGCGAGGCGCTCCTGGTCCTGCAGCTCGGCCAGCCGCCGGCTGATGGCCAGCACGCCGCTGCTGAAGTTGCTGTGCGCCGTGAACTTGCAGCGGAAGTCCTCCGGCGGCCCGCAGTTGAACAGGTAGCAACTGCCGGGGCCCTGCACACATCCGCTTGCGTGTGAGTGTGTAAGGTGTCATAATATGATTGAGTTGCCGCATGTGTCACTGGCGTGCAAAACCGGCTTCAAGCTCCTTTTGTTTTAGGTCGGTATATTAATATATATATATATGTATTCAAACCTAAGTGTAACTAACACTTTTCTGAAACCCGCATCAAAATCGGTTCCGCCAATCGCGAGATAATACATACAAACAGGACGAACTCATTTTTATTTTGAAGTTGGATAGAAAGGCAGATAAGGCGACTAAGAATTACAAGGTGTTACGTTATGTTGGGTAATAGAAAAATAATTACCCATTTACATGTAGGTACTACGTAGTTGAACATAGCCATAAGGCAACCCTCGCCTTCTGTTTCTGCCTGCTACTGAAGTAATATCGAAGTAGACGGAGACGCGGGTTTACAACTGTAGGAAGCATTTATTACTACTCATCTTAGACTAATACAATATACATAGATCTTGTGTTTCCTTTTTTTTAGTTTAATACAGTGAAACCTGGTTAAGTGAGATATCAAGGGACCTGCAATGCCATTTCACTTATAGAGGTATTCCACTTAGTGTCTCAGATATACACGTATAAATAAATATCTGTCTCATTTACAGAAGGTTTTACATTAATAGAGGTGGACTTGGAATTACGTATGGAATTTGTGGGTAGAATAAGAATGAGTACCTAAACAAACAATGTTATCTCAGTTACAGAGGTTTATGCATATAAAATTTACTCGCTGTCTCAGTTAAAGAGGTAACTATGATGATAAATTGAAAGAATAAATCTGTACTAATATTATAAAGAGGAAAGATTTGTATTTTTGTATGTTTGTAATGAATAAACTCAAAAACTACTGGACCGATTGCAATAATTTTTTCACCATTAGAAAGCTGCATTATTCAGAAGTAACATAGGCTATATAATATCACGCTAGGTTCTATAGTTGTGGAGCAGTAACCAAAAATGTTTTAAAAACGGGGTAAAAGTATCGTTTCTGAGGCCTTCCGTGGCGTGCGCTGAGCATATAGTTAAAGTTATACAAAAATGCTCTATAGATGAATTGTTCATCTTAACATTATTTTTAAAAAAGTCCGCGAGAGCATATGTCTACCTTTTATAGTTTACCCATAACAATCGTTTTAATGAATGGTTCAATCTTAACTTTTGAATTGTTCAATCGGTTACCTTAAGACTATTAATTCATCCAAAAGATACCTATTAGGTAAGTACTTACCTACTATTTCAAAAATACATAAAAAGGCGCGGGGCGGCGCGCGGCGTGAAGTGAAATAGGTAGGTTCCTATTTAAGAAGAAAATAATTAATTAAATAAATGAAATAAGTAAATGAAGTCCGGAAAAATATTTTCAAAAGGTAAATACTTCCTAAATAAGAAAAAACTGAGAATAAATATAAATAAAACGTAAAACTATGTAAAAAATCTTAAGTCCCCCCGTGCGAAGCCGGGACGGGCCGCTAGTCCCAGATATAGAGTTTACCTCGTCCCACTAACACAGGTAATTCAGTACCAAAGTGTTGGGACTTTAGCATGTGTTCCAGTTATGGAGGTTTCTCACTTATCCAGGTCCCACTTAACCAAGTTTCACTGTAATAATTTTCATGGCAAGACGCACATGAAATACGAGACGTAAGTTTATAGGCACCATTCGCATCGCTAGGGTTGCCAACCGTAGGTACTCTAAAATAGAATATTGTCCTCTATATCATGTAGGCGTACCTACTCTATAATCTATACTAATCTATAACACTAATAGATTACGCTAAAATACTTTTTATTACACAAGGTTTATTTAACTAGTGTCAGTCTGTAATAATATGCAAAAACCCATAATTAGAATAAAAAGTCTACTATACAGGATGGTTCGTTTACAGTGGTGATCCAAAGATTTAATTCAGCTTGAGAGTATCATAAGTGATCATTTAAAAATATTTTAGTTATGCGAAATTTGATAGTATAACGCGGCAAATTCGATTTTGGTTCACAAAAAAATCATCTAACTAAAAATCGCGGGTTACTCACGTGAAAATACTGAAAAAAGTTCTACTAGTTGGCTCTCCAAAAAAACAAATTGAAAGATTGAAACGCTTCTCTGACAGAAAAACTACAATGTAAACCGTTTGTGACGAGAGGAATTGTGACGTCATAAACGTCACAATACATTATTTCGTACAAAATATATTTTTTTACATTTTGAACTACTTTTGGCTAGTAAATTAAAACACACAGAAACTTACGACTGCTTCGTTGGAAACTACTGAAATGTTTCAGAAGTGATTCTGACTCGGACTACGTACTCTTGTCACTTGTGTGAAGGACGGAAGGACGTGAGGTTGCATTGACTGTCAGGCACTTAGTGTTAGTGAACATGAATGTACTTAATCAAAGTTGAAACTGGTGATGCGAAAGTAAGGTCAAATCATTTATTTCATTTAATTAATTAGGCACTTTTGAAACATCAAAATTGAAATTAATACCTTTTCCTCATAAACGAATACGTCGCAAGCGTCGGTCTCGCAGCAGAGCCGCAGGCACTCGGAGCGCGCGCCCACGTCAAGTTCGGAGAGGTAGCGCGCGCCCATGTCGCGCGACTCTTCCGTGCGGATGATCTTATCGCGCTGCACGTCGAAGCGCGAGGCGCAGGCGGCCGGGTCCAGCTCGCGCGCCCGCACCGCGCCCAGCACCAACGCCGCCCACCACGACCACAGTCGCAGCCGCATCCTGCACTGCACACACACCTCACTCTCTTTCCTGGAAACACTCGCGGATCTTCACTTTACGTATTCTTAGATCAAGTGCACGGGTGACCGTATCCCCGCCGTCCATCTATGTGGATTGTGGCTGTCCTAAGCCAGCGGTGACACCTCGCTACGTATCCGCGGCGCGAATTACTAAATAATATACAATTATACACAGCGGGTATCAGCCGCGGAAGTCAAAGTGAAATCACATGAAGCGCCTCTGTCGGCCTCCCGGTCGATAAAGTCGCACCTGCGCACTGCGGCCAATCTTGAACCTCAGACGTATGAATACGGTGGATATGTCGCAGTCATCCGGTTTAATCAGATATTTTATTGAATGACTAAAGAATAAATAACTCGTCAAATTGTTAAATGTAACGTTCAACGTTTTGACTGAACGACAGTTTGTAAAACGTTAGTGAAGTCGCAGTGTATGTATATTACAGACAGACAATTGGTCTTCTTTTTTATCATTAATTTAATTTCACGATCTTCCACACCTTTTGCTGGTAATCGTATTAACCTGTCCTCATATCATCCAGTACTCATATACCAGACCACCGACACTCTACTTTCCGTTTATTATCAGACATGAGCAATAATAATTAGAAATACTTAGCTAGTGTTTTACAAAGGGTTGGATCAGCTGCAATAGTAGGTACCTACAAAAATTACATTTTGGACGTGATATGGTTAGACTGAATACCATCTTCTCGTCTAAAATGCGTCAGTACCGCAAGATGAAGTCTATATTAATAAGTCTGAAGTCGCTGTCATACTCCAGTGAATTAGCATTTTTTTTTTTTTTGAGGGGGGAAAATCATCCAATGACTTCTCCCGCCCGGGTGAGGCGGGAGGGAGTGTCAGACTCTTACTGACTAAAAACCACCCCGTTCCTACTCCTGCACTTCGAGCCGGAGCCCCGGCAACCCGTTAAGTCTTCCGCGGCTCCGTCCAGTGAATTAGCATGCTGCAGTGATATTGGCGGGGTACATACGTCTGGAAAACGACAGCGGATACGTTCTCGAATGGAGGCCACCTAACCTACAACCTAAACCTACAACGACGACCTGATAAGAGTCGCAGGATGCCACTGAATGCTTCCAACTTCCAACCGGTCGATCCGAAAGTCACTGGGTGAGTATTGTGACTGATCTGATGAATACGGTTTCGTATTACTAAGAGATTTTATTTCATAGGGATATCTCCGGCGCGTGCTATGAGTGGGAATACCCCATCTGTATGTACCCACGTGTTCATTATAGTAAACAACTTGCATCAATGAACGTATGAACAAGAATAAAGAACATACGTAATTTGTGAGTGTGACAACAATGGGTAAGTTTATCAGTAGGTTGTTATATGAAGTCATTGATAGCAAGAAGTAGGTAATAGCAGTTTCAGTTTCAATTCACACACAACACAACAAAACCGTACCTAATTAGTTTAGTGAACACTGTGAACACATACCTACCGTAAGAGGCGCACTACGTATTGCTAGAAAACTAATTCTGCATTTTTAGTTTCTTCTGATTAGTATGTATTGAAGAGTGATTGTGTGTGTGTGTGTGTGATGTTTTATCTCGTAAATCTTGTGAAACCCTTCACAAGTTACAAACCTACAGTTATATCTATGTAGGAATAGAAGTTAAGAATAGTCCCTGTATATGTATGTAGAGAAGCGGCGCGCGACGCGGCGGCGCGCGGCAGTGTCGGCGCGACCTGGCCGCAGCGCGACGCTCCGCCTTCATGTCGCTGTTCTTCAAGTTCAGGAGCGGCGTGAGTACCTCTATCGTGCCACCGTGGAGCACCCGCTCCACGCAGTGATTCAGTTACATTCATAGATTGATACTATACTATTGAGTCTTCGTTAAAACAGTACTACTGACAGTGCAGGAGTAAATGTCGCCTCTATAATATAATTAACTTCTGATAAAATAATTATAATGTCTACTTATCTGATTAATTTTGATGCTTTTACACCCATCTAGGGGTTCATTAATTATATCATGCAAATACATAAGAATAAGTACGTACTTAGCCGATAAACTTGATTCGTTTCATTTACAATTTGAATGGATTCAAAACTAAGTTTATTCGCATGACATACTGATGCATGCGAATAAACTTAGTCTCTTCGTAATCGTAAAGAGCAGTAATGTAAATACAATAAATAATGTGTTACGTTCACGGAGCGCTGGGTGGGGTTGTGACCGTGCGGGGTGCGGTCGGGGCTCGGGCTCCAGCTCGCGCATCTCTGCCTCAACTGAGCACGGTACCAATTGGCGACGATAGGTTAGAAAATATTCGAGTACCACACTTGTTGGATAGGTAGTGAATTTTTGACATAAAGCAACCAGACAACCTTCGCCATCTTACACTGGAGAAATATCGAATTGTGACAGCGGAGAGCCGGCGGCGGCGGTGACTCTCATTTCTCAGTGCAACAAATAGTGCCACACTTTAGCACGAGCTTCAGTAGTGATGAGAGAGTGTCTATCGTACCCGGCTCGCGATCAGTGTTTGATTACCGTGAGTGTGCCGAGTGTAGAAGAGGCCCGGCGCCCGGCGCTGTTCATGCAAGAGGGTTCGAACCTGGCAATTAGCAATGTGGCATTTTTCGAGGTACATGTATCCTCTTTATATTTTAGACATCACTTATTGATAATAATAAATTATGTATTGTACTGTTCTTTGTGCATCATCACTACATAGTATAAAACAAAGTCTATCTGCAGTCTGTCAGTCCCTATGTATGCTTAGATCTTTAAAACTACGTAACGGATTTAGATGCGGTTTTTGTTAATAGATAGTTTTATGTATAATACATGCATATTGCACCCGTGCGAAGCCGGGGCGGGTCGCTAGTTACGTATATATATATTGTAATACTTCTTCATTATACCTCTTTAATTTTATTACATAATAATATATACATACGTATTGTGTAATTCAAATTATGTTCACAACAATGTTAAACTTTTTCACCTACCAAAGTACCAATGTGTCTCTGCATCACCCGAAGGTTGACAGTATTGTAGAATGCCACTAGGCATTAATCCTCCATTGTATACCCATTGTGCAAGAAGTGTAAATAAATATTTTATGTAGTAAAGAAAACCCATCGTGAGGAAATTTTGTAGTTTCAAATTATAGATTAGAAATCGCACAATCCACCTTGCTTGGTGGATTATATGGGGGTGGTATTTGGAGGGCATTTCCTATCACCTATAGTTAGACAGGCAGAATCAGGGTATTTTAGGCCGCCTGGGCTCGGCGTTGACGAATATTTACGGCTGTCTTCATGCCTAGGTGTTTGTAGGCTGGAAAGGTTCCGTCGTTCACAGCCAACACTCCTCTTTTCTCACCCGGGCTTGGGACCGGCAACGGCAGAGTTGGAGTAGAGTGAGTTGAGTTATTGTTGTTTAAACTTACTAGTTAACATTAACATCAATTAGCTTACTACCTACATTTTACAAATGTTTCATTTTACTTATATGTTCTTATACCGGCATTTGGTTCCAAAACAGCTTGTCTTTCGATATAGGCCTCCTCTAAAGATTTCCATTTATAATTTTCGTCCATTTCTCTAGTTTTTCCCTTAGTATGTGTCCTGTCCATCGCCATTTCAGTGTTCGACATAATGGATTTGCCGTTTATGTTTACTTTCTGTTAGTCTAACTTTATCTTTTCTCTTGACTCCAATAACACTCCTCTCTATACTGTTTTGGCAGACGTTTGTTTTATTTGTTAAGTTTTCTGTCAACGCCCATTGCCCAAGTTTGACAACCATATGTTAAACATGGCAGAATGCACATGTTATACTATTTTCTTTTTGCTTTAATTGGCTATCCTTCATAACTTTGCTTAGTGACCAGTACCTCTTCCATGTACTGGCTATCCTCCTATCGATTTCCTTATGCATCGTTTTCGTAGGTGATATTAGCTGTCCCAGGTAAATATATTCATGCACGTATTCTATTTCCTGCATGTTTATTGTGATCTTTTGTGTTTCTGATGAATTAAGCATAACTTTTGTTTTCGTGATGTTCATTGTTAGTCCTGCTACTGCGCTCTGGTCTGCTAGCTATTGAAGCATTTGTTGTAATGATCTAGGACATTCAGAGGACAATATTAGGTCTTCTGCAAAACGCAAATGACTTAGATTTTCGCGTTTATATTGAGACCTTGTTCTTTCCATTCTAGGTTCCTATTTATCATCTCCAGACAGAACTGCCGAGAATAATTTAGGTGATATAGGTTCACCTTGACGAACCCCTCGCTCCTATAGGGAATTCCTCGCCTAGTTTTTCTAATCTGACTTTTGCTGTGCTTTCCTTCAAAAAAGGAGGAGGTTATACGTTCGGCCGGCATGTTGCTTTTTTTTTTATGTATGTACGCGCATAACTCTGAGATGCGTGAAGCGATTTGCAAAATTCTTGTTTTGTTTGAAAGGGTATACTCCCGAGATGGTCCCATTTCCATGAAGTCAGGATCTGATTATGGGATCCTAGGGAAACCGAGGGGAACTTTCGAAAATTCTATGGGCGCGTAATGCGCTAAGCGAGTATGTTTTTCAATTACGATTTTTAAACACTACAATTTGATAAGGGTCTGGAGTCGACCTGATGATAGAGCCAACAGACAGTCGAGGGAACTCCTCAACGGTTTATATTAACTACCTTGTGTTTGGGCTTCATTAATTTGTATTGATGAGAACTTTACACCTAGATAGAGTGTGGCTGTCATTAAGGGTCTGAGGATGAAGAAGTGTAATTGTTAAGGGAACTCCTCAACGGTATACAGTAACTACCTTGTGTTTGGGCTTGTATAATTTGTATGATTAGAACTTTGCACCTATGTAGATTATAAGTAACAAAACGGGTATAATTATGTTGCTTTACACTGAAAATGAAAAAATAATAAAATAAAAACTGCGTTTAAAAAACCGACTTCAAAAAACCAAAAACTAATAACAAACAAAAAGTCAAAACTAAAAAGCAAAAAATAACTATTATTAGTACTGATAGGTTACCCACCCACTGATAGGTTAGAAGTCGGTGCCATAAGCTCATATCATAATGATATAACTTAATGCCCACAAAATTGTGACTTAGGTACCTATTAAGGTTTTAATGAATAATTTTGTATGGAACTTATGGCCTGTAAAAATTCTTAAATTATTCTCCCGTACATTTTGACTGCGTAGAGCTTTCCATATGTACCCATGTTCCAGGCAGTCAAAAGCCTTATATGTGTCTACAAACCCCAGGAAGTAAATTTTATTATACTCATTGTACTTTTAAATCATTATGTTTTCGGCTTACTCACGTAATAATTTGACGAGGAACTCGACTAGTTTCAAGCCATGCTAGAGGCTCATAATCATGAGCAGCATTTCGCGACCCGCGACGCGGTGACTGTCGCGCTGCTACTGGCTACTCAAGTCTGCGGGCCCAGCCCGCCCTCTGCCGTGATTCACGCGCACTTTCCTCCACTCGTGGTATCGGCGACGGCGGCACGCGTGCCATTATTGGCACGCTAGACTCGCTCGCCGGTAGCTGCGTTGGTGTTGGGTTCGAATCCCGGGTCGACGCAAAACACGTGTTACATACCGAGCTCACTGTGTCACACTCCAGACCCGCAACTCTGTAGTCTGACGCAGATTTCAGACTCGGCTTCCAGGCAGGTCGTAATGCCCAGCCACAGTCTCTGTTAAAGTTCGGACGACTCTAGTCGAGTTCCTCGTCAAATTATTACGTGAGTAAGCCGAAAACACAATAATTTATTTAGTATGTCTCACGAAAGTTACAATACAAACATTGTACTTTTGTACGAATTGACTCAGGACGAGGATGTGGTCTACGGTTGAAAGTCCACTGCTAAAACCTGCTTGTTCTCTTGGCTGGTTCTCAATTCTCATCGAGTACTGTGGCTATTCTGGATAAAATAGTTTTTTAAAAGACCTTATAAATGTTGGACATTAAACTGATAGGGCGATAGTTTCCCATTTCCTCTCTATCTCCTTTTTTGTGTAGCAGAACTATCGTTGTTTTAGTCCAGTTCTGTGTAATGCTTTCCGTTTTGATAATTTCTATAAATATGTCTGTTATTAATGGAGCAATCACTAAAACCGTAGATTGGAGCAATTCGGTGGTTATTTGATCGGCCCAGGTGTTTCGTCTGCTTTCTAGGTTTTTAATAGCTTTGATGTTATTGGACAAGATAAAATCCATTTCGTTTTTATAGGCACCATTTAGGGAGGTCCAGATCCATTTCTTTGTTTTCTTTTTCCTAAAGAAACCATTAAGAATACTTAGCTTGTTTTGTAGAGCCAATGAAACCAGCCTTGCGCCATACTTAGTTCTCTCACCAGGTAAAAGATAAATGCAACCAAATGCATTTTTGTGTAATTTGCACATTTATACATATTTTGACTCATCTTCACTGGTGAAGCGAATTATTTCGGCTAGTACTATATATTGCTTATTATTATAGCTTAGGTATTTTACAATACAATTATTTGTACCTATCTATAATGAATAGTAATCCTCCATACCGATTTCGGCTACGGGGACCGTTTGGTGACCACTGGCGTCTGTCATATAGGTCGTATGTGGCTAGATCTACAGAGTACCTATAATAGCTACCAGGGAAAACCGATTGTCGTCAATGACTGAATCAATATACCCACATCCCGTGGGTATATTGATTGAGCGTATTTAGTTTGCTTACAAAGTTGCATAAGTTTATCTGGTACTGTGTCTGGTATATGAAGGTGTAAAACAGACCGTTAGACTACAACTTTAAATTGTTTAAATTATTATTTTCATAGAGGTACCTATATTAGGCGTAGGTAGGTATGTTTATGTAGGTACCTATACCTACCTAGACACCTATACTATGATGTGAAGAACCATGCGTCCCAAATCGTTTGCTGGCTGACTGACTTGTTTGATACCTTGGTATCGTCGTGCGTGATGCCTTTGTTTATACGGAGCCAGGCTAGCCATACGTTAGTATGTTATCAGCTGTGCACTGCGCGGTCGGCGGGCGAGCGCCGCGCGACCTCGCCTCGCGCCGCGCCCCGCGGCTCCGCCACGCCGCCGAGCGCCGCTAAGCTCCCCGCGCACCGCGCACCGCCACCTCCGCCGCTAGCTACCTCCTCGCCTGTTCTCACTAGTACATACGCTAACGGGTGAACTCGTCTCGCTACACGCGCACGCAGTTGAAACCAGCGCGCCTCTTGAAGCTATTGTGTTTACTGTTCAGGCATTTCTATGAAATTGTCAGTTGTTTGTGAGATTGCACACTGCACGTATTGCCCGGGTAGTGTGAAGTGGGTGGTGATTTGGTGATCGATACCTTCAGTACTGTGTGCAAGTATTGGTGGCTGTGTGGTGCATCGCTGCCGCGTAGGTGGTCTGAGATCACCGTGCAAGGAACTGCGATCAACAGTGCCCGGGAGCCGGAGAGGGCAGTGACCGCGGTCGCGATCTCGGTAGGTACGGGAAGAGCCAAGATGATTGTGAGCAACACACTAGCGCGTAACACCTACAACTCGAATACATCAGAATACTAGTACCTACTTAACGGTGGTTTCTTACAACACGTTAGGCAGTATAGCTCCGAAAGAATATGAATAAGAATATCCAACCTCTGCAACAGAACCGATACGTCACAGAAGTCCTGGTATGTATGTGTTTAATAATAGGTTATGTATTTACTACCACATACACAATTTATCATGAGTGCCGGTGCCGAGTGTATTAGGCTTGACTTTGAGTCATTTGCACATTTTTGCTAAAAAATAGAGTTGTTAGGTTACGTAGGTATATTATAGGTTCCCGTCGATCTGTGTACCTATTCTGTATATAGCGTAAAATTAAGGAATGATGACCTCGTGATCACATCCGTAACGTCGCGTCGTTCGCTCGACGAAGACGTCTGCGTCCAGTTAGGTACTATTAAAGTTATTATTGAATGGTATATGAAATGCGTCATGGTAACTAAATACCTACCTATATGTATTTATGTATTTATGGGATAGACAAGTCGTGTACTGTCCAGTCCAGTAACTAGCTAGGGTTGCCAACTATAGTTTATAATAACGTATCCTACTTTATTTTTGGTTATCATACTTTATAGTTATACGTTTACATACAAATAAAGTACTTATGTGAAAATACTTTATTTCCAACTTTTAGCATGATGCTTGGAATATATGATACTTTATTATTTAACAGTATTTAAGAATAATATACTTATAACTTAAAAAAGATTATGGTAAACGACTTATAATTACTGAACACCTTCTGGTGACCAGTCAGTCAGCAATGATCACAGATGTCACTATCGACGAACTTTTATAAAAATTCTAGGACTTCTAAAGGTAATTAAAGAAACTAAAGTAAAAAATGAATGCTTAAAACTGACGAGTAATTCGGAAATTGAATAAATAATTGAAACATACTTTTTTTCTTATAAATAGGTAGGTAAGACTTTAGTTTGCTTTTCAAACTCAAACAAAATGTATACGCTTTTTTCGACAAAAAAGTTGGTAACCCTACCAGTAACCCAATAAATTAATGATTTGTACCGAGATAAACGTCCTGTTTAGCACCTCCAAACTGTTTACATTTTTGTGAATGCCGTCAGACGAGTAAACGAACGTCAGCTGCCGCCTGCCGCCGCAGGTAGATAGCATTGTATTGCAATGACATGTGTGGCTGTCACACATATTTATCGGAGCCAGAGCTGGTGTCGGTTTATTAAAACATCTACCTATAACTAAGTGGTCACGGATCAGTTGGATCAGTGGGATCAGTTCCCTATTTTCGATCCTTATTTAGTGAAGTTTAGTAATTCAGTAATTTAGTACCTAATTCTAGATGGAATGTTTTCCGGGACTTTATAAATTGGCAATTTTGTACATTTTGATGTGCTCTTTCAGATTTCCATTTTGCACCTTCGTACGTGCGCCGTTTGCGCCGCCATCTTGGAAAAATGGCGGTCAAAGTATTTTTACAATATCTTTTTTCCTGTGCATTTTATTTTTTGAGAAAAACGCTTAGTACAAAATCAAATTATTTACAATTATCTACAATTAATGCCTAGCTAGACAGCATTTCCGTAATATAAGTAGTTTTGGCACCGCAAGCACCGCAAAGTACATTTTTATGAGCATTTTAGAAAAAATAACTAATTTCTATACGGCCACACCACGTAAACGTAGAAATCGAGACGTCGCACTGCGACGGTCGCAGATCAAAACTTCGCCTGGTTTATTTGCGATGCCCTTCTGTAGATTAATTACAAGAGATGCTATTGTGTTGTAAGAATGCTATTGTAACAGCTACGATTGGGGTTATATAGTTTTGACATTGAATAATTATTGAGATTTTTGGAATTGCAATGACATTGAGATTTACTTCAAGAGTATGCACCCAGGTCTCCATCAGACCTGTAATACGTACCTACCTAATTAGTAGAAGTTTATACCATTTACAGATATTTTATGAGTCCAAACACAAGCTAACTTCTGGAAGTATTCTCCCAGCTGTCTTTCAGGTCTATTTCAGACAGTCGATAACAAACTGTGCGTACGTTTAGGTACCTACATAAGGAATAAAACCGATCCAGGATTGAGTCGATCGAGAAGTAGATGCCAACATATGACGACAACATAGTATCTGTATTATATATGTAGGGATAGCATCCCTAGATTATTCAACAGAAAACTGTTTTTGTCTGATATAAGGGCGAGATTGTCTGAGACGATTATACATAGTTAAGTTGGAACTTAGTATTGTGGTTGGTGACGGCCTGTTGACTTTAACATCAAGCTCAGTGCATGCGTAACTCCGCAATCCGCCAGTGTGGCCAGACGCCTTAGTACGATGAACCAACCAATCAGAGGCCCTGCTACGAGTTTGTTTTACGTATAAAGTAATCGAAATACACACTCGTACTGAGTACGTCACGTATCAACCACTTATCCGTGTAGGTGTATAGTATACATGTACTGATAGCTCCATACTTGCCCTAATTTGATCTAATAATCTAATTAGAAGGACAGTTGTTAGGTACATGTGTGTGTGTAGTAAGTAGTGAAGTAGTGTTAATCCTTCCAGTGCCAGTGTCCATGTTGTACATGAAGACATTGAGTGCAGTGTAGACGGCATGCGGCAGTCACCTGAGGCCTTAGTCTGCTATTACAATAGTTGCCCGCGACTATATCTGCGTGAATTAGTGACCAACTGTTTTTTAGGATGTTTTAGAATAACACGGTACATAGCCAATTAACTACACAATTTATTTTATTTATTTATTCATTAATATTGCACAATGTACATAATAAGAAGTATTACATACAAAAACAAATGCAATTAAAAGATAAATACAAGGTACAAAACAAATTATTATACATATTTAGTAGGTACGCTTTATTAGGTAGGCAACTATCATTTATTTATCTCTTTCGCAATATTTCAAGTATTCCGACAAATACGAAGAAGATTACGCGATCTTCTTTCACTATCGAGTGAAAGAAGACACGCCATTCTCTGGCTTTGAATCCGGGAATCGGTTTAGGAGTTTCCTCGTGCGCGGTAATGAAGACTTAGCTTTACTCAGTGTTCAGTGTTCTGCAACATAGTAAAACTAATAATGAATCGGTAGTTTTTGTAGCGACGGTAATCGTCAGAAGCAAACATACGAAGGAACTCATTATGCAGTTCAGGAGCATCGATTGGACCGTTAATCATTGTGTAAATTATATCATTAAGACTTATTGCAGGTCCCTTCTATCTTTTAATGTAGCTATGTATGATTGTATGGGTATGAGGAAGGGGAACTAACAACTATTTACGCGTTTGTTTGTACATCGGAGAAATGTATTCATGACGATTCCACACAGCGGCGCGGCGCTGGATTCTAGTTTGCTACGTCCGAACTTGGTATACATGTTTGTAATAATAATTTCATAACATCCTGGCTGTAAGTCCAAGGGGGCGTTGCGGAAACAAACCCTAGCCTACGGAAAGAATTATAGATAGTCTATGTTTTTCGTAAAGACGCGTCTAGCATCTTTCCAGTAATTTTTGTATGAAAATATTACAATCGTGTGATTGTTAGAAGAATTGTTATATGTGTATATAACAATTCTTTTATACACTGGTATGTTTAAAAACCGACTTTAACCCCGTCTTTTTTTGAAGTCGGTTAATTATTATACTAAAACTGTCCTACGTGTAACAAACACTTTTCTGAAAACCGCATCAAAATCGGTTCAACCAATCGTGAGATAGCCGCGCACAAACATATACATGCATACAAACATACATACATACAGGTCAAACTGAAAACGCCCTATTTTTCTCTTCGAAGTCGGTTCAAAACACAATTAATGTTTCTTGTATACAATACTAACGTCTGCCCGCGATTTTGTTCTAAACTGAGTCCCCACCAATTTTCAGCCAAACCAGATTTAGCTGTTCTTGAGTTCTGAATAACTAACACGACTTTCTTTTATAATAGAAGATGATATTTGGTTGTTGTTCCGAGTCACTGACGGACAGACTGACAGACTATTATATATTTCATATTTGTTGACGTTTCAAAGTACCAAATTATGGTTTAATTGAAATAAATGCTTTTGAGTTTGAGTTTGATAAGTACGTGCGAGTATACGTAGATTATTTCATAATTGCAGATTTGACACAATGGAACAAACAAAACTTGTCAATATCTGTAATTACGAAATCAATGTTAAACAATTTTGCAACTATTGTAATAGCAGAGTAAGGTGAGTAAGGCCCTCTGTAGTAGCTACAGGCGGGCCGGAGGCCAGGCGCGTCGCTCGTTGTGCTTGTCATATCTATTTAGCGATTAATTATGATAACGTTGCAGGTATTACCATTATCACTTAATGTCTTGTAGCTGTTTGTACCTACGCGTGTCAGGCGCTGGCGACCTGAGCTAGGCAAACAAACAGATACGACATTCTAATTATTTAGTCACAGCTGACTAGCGGCTGTTGTAACGGCAGATTCTGCAGCTACAAGGGACGACATAATTATGTATCGGCACTGCGCTATTATCATTTAGCAGGAGTTTCTACTACGGGTAATCTGGATAATTTGGTTTGGGGTTGGTTGTTGTAGTGGTCGTTATAATAACATACAAAATAATCTTACAACTGTAGTGCACATGATTGTGTACACCCTTATATCCGGACCTTCAGGTCAGGCCGCAGGCTCGCAGCCGATGTCATTAGTGGACTACACCGCGGCTGCCAGGAAAGTCAAAACTCTACATTAAAGATTTTTTAAAGAATATTTGATCTACAATCTACAATCGATATCGAAGCCAAAAATATGGTTTTTAGAATTTTGTCTGTTTGTCTGTATGTATGTCCGGGATGATCTCAAAAAGTGCTGCATGGATTTACTTCAAATTTTACATGAATATTACTAACAGGTCGGGTCAATATATAGACTACATAATATGTTATATTAGATTTATTACGCAATATTTTAAAGTTTAAAACTGATAGGATATAAAAATATCCAGTCCAAAATATAATAGGACCTGTGTAAGTGGCTTACAGTCAAGCGCGGGGGCGCGCGGGGGCACTCCGGCAGACGTCTGCGGACGGAGGTCGTCGCCCGTCTGTGGAGGACCGCGGAGTACGTGTAACAGTTGGCTGAAAGCCTTTCAACTCTCGGGCTGCCGATCTACAGGTATCGATCGAGCTTCCGATGTCGCGTCCCTCCAGTCCAGGCGGCGCGCCGTGGCTCGGTCTGTGGTGCGCGCCGCCACTCGAGTGCACGCGTCTATTGGTGATGCCTTTCTTGAAACTGTTTGATGGGCTTGACAGTGTTTAAAGCATTACTATTCATTGATAGTTGATACGTAGATATAAAAAATATAGAAATTTGCTTTGAGAGGTTATTTATTTGTCGCCACGGTGATCTTTCATGTTCCGTTGGTTCTGTGTTGTAACCAATCTACTAATGCAATGTTCGCAGAAGTTTAGTCATACTTAATTAGGTTTGTTATAATAATATTGACTTTGTATAAATATGACCAAGCGATGCATTTTAACTAAGGTGTAGAGTTTGTAGACTATCTCGTGCGCACCCATTAGGTGGATGCTTCCTGGTGCAGCTCTATATTATAATTAATTTAATAAAATCTTGACGTTGTGGTTAGAAAGAAGCAAAAGAAAGAAACACAGTGTATTTGCACTGTAATACAATTTTTTAAAACATTAAGTTTGTTTTAATAACAACACTTGCGTTGTGAGTGAGGTTACCGCAGGCCCAGTCATCCCCCTCCCTAATCTCCCCAATCCTTCAATTCCTAATCCCCAAAAGATCGATAACGCACTTGTAACACCTCCAGTGTTTCGGGTGTCTATGGGCGGCGGCGATTGCTTGCCATCGGGTGATCCGTCAGCTCGTTTCCCGGTTTATTCCATAAAAAAAATTACAACTACAATGACATGATAAACGTCATCACGGTGCAAAAAGGCCAGTGCTCAGCTAGATGCCGGCCGTAATAATCTTAATAAACGCGGTACGCGGTACATTTCGTAGCGCGTACCGCGTAGTCAGTAGCTCGTGCCACGTGAAAAACACTGCTACGGAGCTACGAACTATGCGCCACCACCGGCTAAAAACTACGAGCTACGAACTTCGCGCTACGAGCTACGACCTACGGCCTACAGCTGTAGATTTCTGCGGCTACTTTAATGAAAAAATAAAGGCTTATAGATTTAGCCTATGTTCACTTGGCAAGCATTAAACGCACATTTTATAACGCGCCTTATATTATAACTAAATGCATTTAACATACATTTTATTCCGACCGTTCACATGCGCGAGTTAGCATGTAAACGAAATGGCACGTGTAGTAAAATATATTTGCGCCTTCACACTAGCGTTAGTCCAGCAAAAGCATTTGATAAACCCATGAGCCGCGCAGGCGTCGCGTAGTCGCGGCACCAATGCAAGAGTAAATAAATACACGGCGCTAGGTTAGGCATGTAGTGTTAGAAACTTAGCTGTGTGTGCACGATGATATCTGCGATCTATATGGTGTTGTTGCCTTTGCATGTCATTGTTTAATGTACTCTGTACTCTGTCTCACCCCCTATTACATGGGACTCGTAACATAAATAGTGAAAAGTGGGTGTTACATTGTACAGTGGCATAATGTGCACCTCTGCCTACCCCTTCGGGATAAAAGGCGTGATGTTATGTTATGTTTAATGTAGTTACGAGTGCGTTTAAATATGTAAATTGTACATGGTTCAGATTCACCACGCTAATTTATCTGAGCTGCATAGCCGTGCAATATAAACCACTTTGGTAATACTATTTTCCTTCACCGTGTGTGAGTGCCGGGGGTACTTGCCAGGTTTCGAACCCACACCCTAAGACTAAGGCTTGTCATGCATAAGGGTATCTTCGTGAATGACAAGCCTTAGTCTGTTGCCGCTATGCTATAACAAATCAAACAAGTTTAATTTTTTTCCAATACGTGTAAGTTAATTTTAATGCCGTTTACTCGAATGAATTAATGAACGAATAGTCCGGAACCCTTCGTGAACAGGCCCGACTAGCACTTGGCCGGTCCTAATTTATCTTGACAATACATGTAATGTTGAAATGTACTTTGTAAGCCATAACTATCGATTTTTCAAAAAAGGCTTTAGCACATTAATATTGTAAAAACACTTTTATTGGTATTAATTTTTCCAAAACGGGCAGCGCCGCGGCGCGCGGCGGTACCAGCGTCGCACATCCGAAGTGGGAAAATGAAAATTCAGAAAGAACACATCAGAATCTATAGGCAATTTATTTTACAAACCAATTTTCAAATATTACTGACTAAAACCCACCAAGTTCCTACTTCTGCGGCAAGTTACCCGTGCTCGCCGTCTGCAGGCCCGTGCTTACGGCGGTGGTCGAAGATCGTTCGATCTCCGACGCGCATAGTGTCTCTCACGACGGTTGGGGCGAGGCAGGTAGAGACGGCATACCAGGCCCATCGCTCCGTACCATGGTCGAAACCAGAGTCGGACACATCCTTGAGGACACGGTGGTGCGCAGCTTCGTAGAGCACACCGCCGCCGTATGCTCCACCACCGTGTCCTTCATTTAGTCCTCGCAGTGATGACACCTGAACATGTTTTTCCTCCCGCCCAATCAGAAACAGGAAATCCCGCCACGCTCTAATTTGGCGCGGCAGCGGAGATTCACCCCGGCGACGTGCCTCCGCGCGCATGCGATACACGCGCGCGAGCACCTTCGCCTCCAGACCCCAGCGGTAATCCGGCAAGGAGGTTCGTCGCCTCCCCGAAAATCGTATACATACATATTTACAAACTGCGCGTGGCCACCTGGTTTTGTGTAGCGCAGCCAGCGCGTGTGTGAGTCGGGGTCCGCGGCTCGTGCAGTATCATGTCGGATTTGGAGCACGATACTGAGGCAAGGCAGTCCCTTGATGCTTTGCTTCACGCTCGCCACCCGCGATACAACCACGTCTCACATTGCATGCCCTCATCATTAGAGGGCAACAGATGGTAATAGAGCTGGAAGTATCCAACTACAGAAATATGAAACGTAATGCCAGTTCGGATTGGCGGCGCTCAGTCTGATTACAATAACAGGACAGCAACCGGGAGCACTGAAAGCTAACGTGTGAACATTAACGTTTCAGAACCGCAGCAGTGCGAGCGCGGCGGCGTGCGGCATGGAGTGCGGCGTGGCGGCGGGCGGGTACCCCGCGCCCCCCGCGCACCCCGCGCACCCCGCGCACCCCGCTCTGTCGCCCACTGAGCGCTCGCCCGCTAAGTCCGGTCTACACGTCAACTTCAGCGACAAAGGAGAGGTAACTACCTACTACGAATCTTACCAATTTCACACATGTCTCCAATAAGTAGTAAGACTGTATCGGATCAATACCGAATACCTACATAGGTACCCAATTTGCCGAAATGTAATGGAGAAAAATTAAAAAGTAACACCGAATTTTCCGAAATTTACAGAGATTATATTATAGCTTTAAATATTGAGAATAGAGTAGGTATAGGTTAGTAATACACTAACTAATACCGCGCGGTTTCACCCGCTGCGTTCGGCTCCAGGTCCTACAGACTGTAGCATGGTGCTTAATAGCCTTCCTCTTTAAATGGACTATGCAAAACCGAAGCAAATGCGTTCAAACACCATTAGCAAGAGGATACACTGGAGAATTAAGACGGTCGTTCTCCCTATTTATAAATCCCGTCCAAAGGACTTAGTTATTAACTATCGGCCTGTTTCTCTATTAGCATCAATCTCTTAAGTAAGTTCTTGAGAAAATTATAAATAATAGACTAATCTCGTATCTTGAAAAGAATTCCCTTATCTACCAGCGATTCGGTTTTAGAGCCAAATTGTCGACAGCAAATTGAGTAGTGTAGGTACACACTACACATATATCAGGAAAACTTGTACAAAGTAACAAGTGCTGGGAATTTTCCTTGATTGCAACCTTAGGTATATAAAAACCAATATTTTTCTTGAAAACACTTGAATCGTTTGCCTCATTTTGCATCTTACCATTCTTATACTCTGTTGATGAACCTTTCTTACTCACATTGTTTTACTTCAATTTCCGAAATAATTTATACCTAAGTAACTACAGCTATTTACTCTGATACTGTTGTAAAAATGTTGAATGTAGGCACAGGCACACTTTTATACTGTTTTATTACATTATGTAGATGTAGATAAGGTATACATAGAGACATGCTTCGGCAAGACTTGGCTGGAACGACCGGAGTGATACCACGGCCTCACAGGCGTGAAACAACGCTTTCCTTGTATTTCACCGTGTGAGTAAGGTCCCTGGAAAGTGCCCAAGTAAAATTTCAAGTAACCATCAAATTAATGTCGTCATTCACAGGTGAAGGAGCGGCGCGAGAAATTCCTCACGGCCAAATATGGTAGCCATCAGATGGCGCTGATCCGCAAAAGGCTCGCCGTCGAGATGTGGCTGTACGACGAGCTGCAGAAGTTATACGACACACCGGTGAGTGCTGCATGGGAATCAAAAAGAGCACATCCATCCACTAAATTGCCGAGTTACACTCCCCGAAAACATTCCAGGTAGCTCCATAATTCCCTCCTTCATTATCGGACTACTTGTTTTGTTTTCGAAAAGAGCGGTGGTGCGGGGAAACTGAATGAATGACACTCGGTCGGATGAGTTCGTATCAACTCGGCAATTCGCATTTGCGAATGTGGGTAATAGATATTCGCATTCGTGAATGTTTACAAAACGACATTTATGACATCACTAGCGTCTATCACAAACTACCTGAAAGGGTAAGGCAGAGGTGCACATTACGGCACTTAATGCCACTGTACAATGTAACAACCACTTTTCTATTTATGTTATGAGTCCCATCAGTCCCATGTAATAGGGGGTGAGCCTATTGCCATATATGAACACCGGGCACAATTCCAGATTCCGTGCAACTACTGAGATTTTTTTAAAACTCGGAATCGAACCCGAATCCCCGAATAATTTCTATACAAAATTATTCATGAACACCTTAATAGATACCTAATTTACAAGTTTGTGGCCATTAAGTTATATCATCAGACCCGTACTGACAGTCCCACTCCATCTAGGTGTAAAGTCCTCATCAATACAAATTAATCAAGTCCAAACACAAGGTAGTTAACCGTAGAAGAGTTCTCTCGACTGTCTGTCGGCTCCAAAATCAGGTCGACTTTAAAAATCCTAATTGAAAAACATAATAAACGTAACATAGTACAATTTTTGAAAGTTTCCCTCGGTTCCCCTAGGATTCCATCATCAGATCCTGACCTCATGGAAATGGGACCATCTCGGGAGTATTATACCCTTTCAAACAAAACAAGAATTTTGGAAATCGGTTCACAAATGGCGGAGTAATCGGCGATCAAACAAAAAATAAACAATCAGCCGAACATAGTACCTCCTCCTTTTTTTAAAGTCGGTAAAAATGAAAACTGCGTTTAACTCGTCGAGTACCGGTTTTGTAGACACAATTATAGAACAATAGGTTGCGGTCACCGGTGACCGCTTGGTGTTTGACAGTTTAAAAAACCGACTTCAAAAACAAAACTAAAACAAGCAAGAGATAAAAAGTAAAAACTAAAAAATACGGTGCCACCAACCCATAACAAAGTATTAGGTACTTAGTTCAATGGTTAACAGGTTAATATTATCAATGTAGTACCTTGAGTGAGATACAGAATCCTAAGTTGGTAACTTACAAGTTTCGGTTGTGGTTGCAGAAGGAGGGCGCGGCAGGGGCGGCGGGCGCGGCGGGGGCGGCGGGGGCGTGCGCCTCGCAGGAGGTGGAGGTCGACATCGACGAGCTGCTCGACATGGACAGCGACGAGCTGCGCCGCCGACACCTCACGGTGCGTGCCCCCCCCCACACCCTCACCCTCGCTGACTCGCTCCTCGTGCCTATGTGCTCTACTGCTATACATATTATTCCTTGTTACAGACTTTACTAGCGGACGCCAAAAAACCTCAAAAAGATGTACATGTAAGTCCATATACGGTTTATTTAGATTAATAAATAATTACCCACATACCCAACCCTGTGAATACTGAAGGAGGTTCGGTTCACTATGCGGTAGTGGCGCCGCGTATAGGGACGATAAAGAGCCACATAATAAACAAATTTAATTCTGTATTATTGATATTAGGTGGGATTCATTGTTGGTCTATCATTCGCTGATGACTCTGACATCATGGGCTGCTGCCTGTGAGAGGCCACTGCTGGACTCTTAAAAGAAGGCGTTGCCGTAGTCATGACCTCAACGCTTATCACCAGGGTTAGAGATGTACTATAGCACACGACAAAATTATTGGCGGCCGCCAGTAGCTATCTAGAGATATTATGTAGAACTTCTAGTTTCGACAACTTCTGGTCTTCTCAAGCGGCACCTACAGTGACATCTATATTATACCTGACTTATTAACGTTTTTCATTTCAGAAATTCATTAATGATTTGCTAGAAAAAGCGAAAACTCTTTAGATTACGGAACCAAATCTCATTGGGTTGACTGAGGAGTGGACGACCGGTAGCCGGAGCCCACGGCGCACATATCAGGCCGCGCCGGACCACGGGACCACGCACCGGCCGTGTGTAGCCCGCTTCCATGTCATTGTTACATTGTGTAATTCTCGTAGAATTGATATTGTCACTTGTTGGTACATGATGTCGTAACCCAAGCGCCAACGACAGTAGCGACTAGGTTTACGGCGCGTACGGACTAGCGACCTGATAGTGTACCTAGACCTAATGTAGAGCAGGAGGTTCTCTGTTTGCTGAATCTAAGCAGGCCATTGTTTTGCTACAAGAGAATAACTGTGTAAGGATAGTTATGTTAGAAAGTATTGTAAAGTTAGCCAACTACGATGTATATAGTTACAATTGTAGGTGTCTACATTATGTAGCGCCGTCGGCAGCCTACACGACGACACTACATTGGGAACTTATTCTAATTTATGCGTAAGAATATCTTGAGTGCAATAATACTAATCTTAATGCTTGTGTGGCGTACCTATTGAATATATTGCGAGGAGATTGCTTTTTGTACTTTAAACTTACGAGACTGACTCAGTGGTCTAGTGAAGTGACATCTTAATCCGAAGGTGCTGCGTTAGATTGCCAGACAATTTTGGGCAATTCAATGTTAAAGTTTTGTCAGGGTTCACTCGCCCGCTCATATAAAACTTACGAGAAGTGCTTACATAATATTGGAATTTTATTGAACATACTTCACAAACTGGAATGCGTCAATGTGTTAATCTACGCCCTAATTTACATGCAGCCCACATACTTGTACAATCTAATACAATACTACTAATCAATGTGCATTTCACTACATAAGTTACTAAAATTTTTACTAGAAGTTAAGTACACCCAACTAAACACTTCGTCGTTGGAAGAATGAGCTCAAGCTGAGTAAGGCCTCCGACCTCGTGGCAACAGACCTTAGAGCCCTAAATAGCACAGCAATAAAATGTCATAGAGTGTGATTTAGATATTGCTTGCTCGCAATAAAGCAGACAACAATATAACTACCTAATTAAATAACCATAATTATAATATGTTGTACATAAGTATAATAGGTACATTTAACGTCACAATTTTCTAGTGGGTACCTATTGTTTTAATGGGGCAGTGAAAAACAACCGTTGGAGCACATTTCATTTTTATTAAACTATTCAAAGTAGCTACTACACGTTCATGACGCTTTCAAATTACCTATTAACATGTTTTCAGTTGTCAACTGAACTGATTCTTGGCTCAAACGATTCGTTTTCACCTCAAATAAGACGCACCTCAATAACGTACTAGGAACTTTATACGTAGATATAATATAGGTAAGGCATACAGACGTGATCTGAGCAATATCGCTATGTAACTGGCTGTGAAAGCTGTCAGTCTTGCCTCCATAGATTCCATAAGTGTTAGAATTGAGAGACCGGGCCTGGACCTAAGCCTAGTTACGTCAGTCTACGCCACTGCCAGTATAATATTATTATGGGTTATCGTTGCAATATTTGTAGCGGAGCTAGTAGTCTCGATAATGTTCAGTGTGGTGGTCTCCAAATGTAATTAATTTGTAATAAATAATTTTAATAAAACATTATTGGTTTTAATTACTAATTCTTCTTTGTAAACATCACCTGATCAAGGATGTTGAAAGAAAGGCGAACGCAATGTCACTCAGAAATAATTGTGGACCCAAAATGTCAGTGGTTTATTTATGTGTGCGTATGTAATGCGCACGAAAGCGGCTTCCTTGCTGCGACGCCTGCATGGTAGTGCAACATTCTGAAAATGATTGCTGCACGACACTGGGTGGCGACAGTCATACATAAAAACGAGAACAGATAAATCTAACAATACTAACATAATTTAAGGAATACTGTTACTAACCCACAATTACTAACAAAACTATGGATAAAAGAAAAATGGTCCGAAATAAAAGATTGATTATTATTATATTATTATAATGGGTTGCCACGTTGCCGCAGACGTAAGGACATTACCCAAATGACAATGACCAAAATAATCCCATTAATACCATTAGTACCTAGTCAGGCGCCACTGTCGTTATGTTAAGCAAGAGACAGTGTCCGCCTTTTTTTCAACGTCCTTGCTACAGATATGAGATATTTATTTTAGTAACCAACAACTGTTTACACTATACATTACTACATTACTGATTAAATACATTTACAAGTGCAACAATTACTTAATTATAGGTTAACATCACATGCAAAAAAAACAGTAAACAAACATAGAAAAATATCAAATGATTCCTTGGGTGCATATCTATCACAAAAAGAAAAAAAAATACATTAGGATGTCAATTACTATACGGAGTTATTGGAACAATAAATTTAGTTATAGTTGTATAAATTGTGTTACAATTGATAAATTAAAATTATAATATTGTAACGCGGTAATTCGATTTTGGTTTGTGTCGGACGCACGCGAGCAACTTTAGTGGCAACACGCCACTTCACTATTCCTGTTCCCCCGGTTCCCCGCCACTGACTGCTCGACGCTTGCGTGGAAGTGTAATAACAACGAGTCCCGCGCCGGAGCCGTGACGCTCGCCCTCCGTATTTGTACCGCGAAATATTTGAGTTCTATTCTATTTTATTATTGTGCAACTTTGTTTATATAGTTTAAAGTTTATTCCAATATACAGTTTTACAGTCGTTCGTGTGTCAAACTTCATTTCACGCCCCTGAGAACCCACTAAGACATAAACAAAATAACACCTTTACATAATTTACTAACGCTCGTGTGAACTTATTTATATCATCGTGTTGTACATCCACTAAGTCGCTGCGTTCATTAAGGATTCTGGATAATCTAGTTAGGTAAGTATCGGAGAATTCGCAACAAGCATAGATTTCCGAAATGGCGGACACAGGGGTGCAATCTAGAAGGCGCATGAAATCTGATAAGCTTCAATAAAGCTGGGCAGTCGATCTTCTTGCGCAACAGTTTATAGACGAGCAACACATCAGTTATGTCTCTACGCATAGACAATGACTGTATTCTGAAGTGGTGCAAACGGTCCTTGTAAGACGCCAGACACCTATATAGATTTCCCCTCGCTAAAGGCCAGATGTCATACAAAACGTTTCTGAACCCTTTCCAGACGCAACATGTGAGTGGCATAATGCGGTTTCCATACATCATCATCATACCATATCATCGAATGACTGCTCCCATCTGGGCGAGGCGGGAGGGAATGTCAGACTCTTACTGACTAAAAACCAATCCGTTCCTTCTCCTTAGCTAGTACAACTGCTTCGCAAAAGGATGAGACGGCATCCCAGTACCCCTCGCTCCGCATCATGGCCCGCACTAGGCCCGGACGCGGGAGGTCGCTATCGCCGATCACTTCTCTGAAGGCACGGTGGTGCTCAACCGACGCAGGGCATTCCCCCACAGTGTGTTCCACGGTGCCCTCAGGGCGGTCCTCGCAGTGATGACACCCGGGCGTTTCCTCCCGCCCCATCAGACCTGCGAGGTCGGTGAGGACCTGCGTCAGGCGGTAGGTGAGGACGCCGTAGCGTCTCTCAAGCCACTCCTCAAAGAGGGGACTTAACCGCTGCAATGGCAGCGAGCCCAAATTTTCGTGTGTACATGGTAACATTTCTCCCGATTCAGTTGCATCTTATTATTATGGCACCATTCTATAACCTGATTTAGGTCGTGCTGCAGAAGTACGCGGCCTTTTTCCGACTCTACTTCTCGCGCAAATTTTAAATCATCAACATACAAAAAGGGTTCGAAAAACGAAAGGACTGAGGCAGATCATTGATGAATATATTGAAAAGTATTGGAGCTAAGTGGGATCCTTGGGGGCACCCGATGTTATTACGACGACAAAAAAATCGCGTTCAGTAAGTTAGGATCTGAATCAACTCAATAAAGGCACCTTTACACCATAAGCTGCTAGTTGATGAGTCAGTACAGATTGAGGCATCTTATCGAATGACTTACTGAAGTCGGTATATAATACGTCAAATTATTTGCCTCCGTCCACAGCCTGTATCAGTGACTCCATGAAAGACACCAAAGTGGCTGTAGATCTAGATGCCACAAAACCGTGTTGATTCTCACTAAAATATAATCCCAAGTGTTGTTGAATGTAGGGACACACAATGGATTCGAAAATCTTTGCGAACGTAGACAAAACTGAAATTCGCCTGTAGTTGCTCACAGTTTCTTTTTTTCTGCTTTATGCACGGGAACTTGGCTGTTTTCCATTCTGATGGAAACATTCCAGCAGTCAATGATGCATTATATACTATCAGTAAGGGGGCCACTAATACACTGTTCTGAGAGATTTTCCGTCACAGAACGGATTCAACGGGAGGAAACCAATGATATTATAAGTAAAAATCGACTTCTTAACATTCAGTAAGTGTTGTAGATAGGAGTATTAGGACTAGGTGCTAAGTATAATAACTTAATGAATAATATTAAACTTAATAATATTCGCGATACAAAATATGTAGCGCATGCGGGACTCGTTGTTGCGTGACGCTCCTACGCAAGCGTGGAGCGGTCAGTGGCGGGGAATCGGGGGAAAAAGAATAGTGACGTGGCGTGTTGCCACTAGAACTGCGCGCGTGCGTCCGACTCAAACCAAAATCGAATTGGTTTTTAATTAGTGGTTTTTGATGTCGGTTTAGCTAGTTTTATTTTATTTCTTACTTTTTAGTTTAATAGGTACAAATGAAATAAGGCCACATCTATTTTTCTATCTAAAATGTTAACGTTACATAATGAGATTATCTTTAATAATTACGTCTCAAATAACATTATACTCGATCCATAAGTTAGTATTATATTGAAAGATTTTTTTCAAACTCTCTACCGTTGAGGAGTTGTACCTTCCATCATTAGCTTATTGACATTAAATGTTGATCATCAGATGCAAATGGTTGAATAACCTTACGTAATTGTAAGGATAAACATAAAATGTGTTTACAATTTGAGGGTTGCTTTACATTTTCTTGAGATCTCATCATCAGATGCTAACCAAGAATCACACAAATTGGATTAGAAATAATAATAATAATAAAGCCCGCAGGGCACCTTGAGGAGAGGTGACGGGCATTAGCGATCCCGCGGGCTACCATCATCCCGAGTGCTCCAGGGAGAAGTCACCGTTCCTTCTTCTTCGGCTTGCCTTAATTGGCTGGCTGGAGTGAACGATGACAAGGAACAGGTCTCCCACCTCTGGCTTGCCTTCATTGGCCGTCCAGAGTGGAGTCGCGAGAGCAGTGATCCTGCTCGGAGGGTAAGAAACTATTCGTAAGTCACGAGTGGGCCAGGGATGCTGGAGGCTTCGGCTGGAGCAGATGATCTGAGTAGAAAGCGGTGGTAGTTTCTTAACCCTTCAGCCACTCACATTCTCGTTGCCTCTATGTTGCTATATCTAGCAACCATTCCCGGGGCCCGGTCGGTGAGTTGGCGAGTCTCCGCCTTCCATTTTTACGTGTAAAAATTACATTGTTTCGGCAGGTGCCATAGTCATCCATAGTTCCCAATTTACCAGTCCACAGCAACCCATCCATAGCCCTACCTTTTTTTT